AAATGTGATGATTGCAGGGCTAGCAAACAAGTCACACACAAGCTCAGGCCTGATTACAGCAGAGGTCAAAGTTAAGCACATAGAGAACTTACTCAAAAATCAACACTAATTCCGCCTAGGCACAGCACCTGCCGGTGGCCCCATCAAATTCCACCAGGCCCCATCTCTCACCCACCATGTCTGACCCTCACAGGTAAGGACTAAGGCTCCTGTATGTGGGCCTCTGGGGAACAAAGCACACCTTAGCCAAAATAGGCCACGGAGATAGGACTCATACACCCAGGCTCTGACGGTAATCTCAGGGTCGAATTGCTTTAGTACAGACAAAAACCTCTGGTGGCACAGGTCTGCAATTCAGGTTACACAGCAGGCTGAGGCAGAAGGAGCTGAAGTTGACGGCTTATATATCGCTGGACATATCTGCAAGACGCTGTCTCACGATTTTAAAAAAACAGAGCTGAGGAGATAAGAATCCCCAGTACTGAGGAGGAAGGTCCACATTCAAAAGGGAGCTTTGAAATGACTTGTCCTGAGTCTCATCATACAGCTCTCTAATTAATGGACAGCCACATGCTAATTATGTAATTTAGGGGACACCATTCACTTCCCTAAGCCCTAATTTCCCAGTATGTAAAATGGAATAATTATAGCATTTAAGCCAGGGTCCTTCTGAAGATTAGATAATGTGTACCAAGATGGCATAACACATAACACACTGAAGTATATAACTATCAGCCATTATTAATACAAGTATATTTCCAAAATTACACAGACCTCCATTTTTCATCTCCATATCAAGATGACAATCAGATTCCAAAAGTGAGTGTGTTCCATAGTAAATCAGTTCACTGGACAGTTTATAAACCAAACAGTTCTGAGGAAGTTTTGATTAAACAATTATCCCAGTGTTTTTGGGTTTCTTTTGTTTCACAGCATACTATTGTACATCTCTGAATGGTTTGGTACATAGTCCAGCCTGGCCTAGAACTCATGGCAATCCTCTTACTCATGGCAATCCTCCTGCCTCACTGAGGCCAAAAGTACTCATCTCAGTGCTAGACAAATTCACCCTTTACCCCCATCACAAAGTCAAATCCAATGCACAGTATTTCCAAACCAAGTTGACCATAAAATGCAATGGAGATCTAAAAATACACTTTGGGAAATGCTAACAGAAATCAGATCACACATATGGAATGAACAGAAGTTTCTAGAGAATGGATCATGCTCTTCCCATTTCATTCAGTTCCAATCACCCACCATCACATCTCAATGGAGCCTTCCTTTACTCTCCAAACTCAAGAGTCTCAGTTAAATACTCTGGGACCTCTGCAGACTGTTCTTTCACAGATCTTACAGTCATAGGCACTGACAAATTTGAAAGACTATTTGATTAATTTCTGTCACTTCTCCCAGCAAATTTTAAAGTGGACATATATGTAGCACAATGTTTGGGACAAGGTGTGGTCTCATTATTCAGTTCAGGTGGCCTTAAACTCCCCGTCCTCTTGCCTCCGCCTCCAGAGTGCTGGGATAACGGGCATGTACCACCACTCCTAGCTTCGGGTTTTTGTTTTTTATTGACAGTAAATAACTGTGAAGAACTTAATGTTTACTAATAGGAAACTGGTTAAATAAGTCACTCTATATTTGCATTATACAATGTTTTATAATGATTAAAACCCATAAACTTGGCTGAGTATGGTGGTCCAGGCCTGTAATCCCAGCAATTGGGAAGCTGAGGCAGAACCACCTAGATTACAGTGAGGTCTAGGCTATTACACACACTGTCCTGAAAGAACATTTTTTAAAGTGAATTGTATTTTATTACATGCATGTTATATCACACATAGATATCTGCAAGCATACATATAACTGTTAACGATGACCACATCTGACCCCAGAAGAGTAATCTTTTTGCTCTATAAACTTGTTACAATGCTTTTCAAAAGTATGTGCTTCTTTTCTAGTTAATTTTCTTAGGCTTTGAGCAACTGCGAATCCATACAATTATATAATTATGCTTGGCTCTTCTCTCTCTCTCTCTCTCTCTCTCTCTCTCTCTCTCTCTCTCTCTCTCTCTGGCTTTTTGAGACAGGGTATCTTTCTCTTTACATACCCCAGGCTGTCCTGGAACTCAGTATGTAGATCAGACTGGCCTCCAATTCACAGAGATCTGCCTGCCTCTGCTTGCTACACCTAAGTGCTGGGATTAAAGGTGTGTGCCACCATGCCCAGTGGTATTAGCAACTCTTCACAACCACTTACTGACACCATTTCAGAAAGACACATGTCTAATTTGCATAGCTATGCTCAAGAGTTCCAGTCATTCATTGGTCCACACTCGTTCTAGTCTCTTAATTAAAAGAAAAAAATCTAAACAGTCCTTTGTGCCCTGTAATGGTCTCTGGAACTCTCCACTCATCCATTTCTTCATGTCTTCTCATACACCACAGCACCCTCTAGGAAAGCCACCATGATCTGCACAACCATCTTGACAGAAAGTTTAGAGAAGACATAATGCTAACCCAGTATTATAGAGTAAAAATGACAGAAGTGGTGTGAAGTCTCTCTTCTGCTAAGCCAGCAGCACAACGTCTGGGGAGATGAAGAAACTACAGGGCAAGAACAACAGGCCAAAGAAACAATTCTACCTCAGTTGAGCTCAGTGAATCAGTGAGTTTAATTTTAATTATGGTCTCACAAAAACATGGGCTTTTTACAGGAGCAAAGACAACTTGTGTGGGCTACCCCACAAAGATAATATCTCTTAGCATCCGTCAACCAACTGTAGATAGTTTACATACACTCAGGGACAGGTGATGCCTCATATGTCCCTCCCCACTCCATGACAGACCACTAATGGGCCCAATCCTGTGCAAGTGTCTCACAGGTAATCACAGGTGCCAAGGGCTCAAGAGGTCACTGGCCATGTCACTCCCAGAAGACCATGTTCCACAATACCAGTGTTATTATACACCATCTCCTCTCCAGTAAAGGAAACAAAGCTATCTAGACAGAACCAACAATGCAGTCACTTTAATAAGATTTAAACCTCTTTTGATTTCCACCTTCTCCAAACTTGTAAGTGTCCAGATGGTATTGATGATCAGTGACCATTAAAATGGGCCTCTTTCAAACAAGCTCAGAAAATGGCTGGGATGCACCACTTTACTGTTAGATAATCCTCATTAAACTGAGAGATCCTTTGTAGAATGACCTGTACGTCATTTGGAAGACTAGAACAAGCTTCCTTCCTCTTCTAGAATATATCCAAATACAGGAGTAGACCCTCACCTAAATAAACATCCTAATAAAGCATCTAGCATGACTAGGCATGGTGGTATACACCTCAGGAGACTGAGGCAGGAGGATCACTGCAGTTCAAGTCCAGCAGAGGCAGTGTAGGAGTAGGGGGAAGGTTCCCTTTCATCTGACTGGTCTTGAATTTAAAAACTGTCTTTACAGCCGGGAATTGGTAGCACACCCCTTTAATCCCAGCACTTGGGAAGCAGAGGCAGGCAGATCTCTGTGAGTTCGAGGCCAGCCTGGTCTACAGAGCGAGCTCCAGGACAGCCTCCAAAGCCACAGAGAAACCCTGTCTGGAAAAAAAAAAAAAAAACTGTCTTTACAATAGAGAGCTGAGACAACCTGGTGTCCCAGCTTCCTCCCTCTCAGGGAAGGACTAATCAGCATATATCACAATTCTCTTCAAGTCTGGACTAGTCTTCCTTTCAGGGCTCTACAGATTTTGAGATGGCTACAGGGATCGTGGGAGGAAATTATACTCAACTACTTCCACCACTGTTTGAGCCAAATTGTGGATTAATCCATTCTTCTTTACCAACTTCTACTCCATAATTTCTTCTAAAATAAAGCAGGTGTCAGGTTTACAGATCCAGTGCCTGCTAACTTAATGTGTGCTCCGGGGACCTAACTTAAAATATCCTTTTTTTCTATTCTTCACTGAACTGCCTTTCCCGTTAGCAAGTTCTATTGAAATCTGTAATTACAGACCGATCTGCTTAATTACTGTCCATACCACTCATAGAACTACAGGATCCATAAAGGTAGAGTCAATGTTTCTGAGCACTGCCCCCGTCCCCTGCACACATGAAAGGCACTTATTAAACATGACAATCAAAGAAAGAGAAAAGAGTACAAATTAATATAAACAGATTGCTTTCTTAATGTTTTAAAATTCATCACCTACTATATCCCAGACTATTTAGTCTTTTATTTTGTTAACTTCAAAATAGTCCTCCCAGGTTTCTCATTTGAGGCTAAAGCTCACAGAAGTTATTAAATTATTTCAAGAAACAAGCCTAGGAAATTTGAACTCTTGTTTACGGAAATATTAACTTTATCTGATGTAAAGCTGGCCTCCAGGATGACTTAAACCGATTATCCATTCTCCAATACAGTTATGGGGAAAAGGATATCTATCCACAGGGAAAAAAAATTCTTTCAATTTGCACGTCATGCTAGATTAGATAACTGTATAAACAGCAAGCAACCATTTATACACTGGCCAAACGTTTGCTCTTACAATCTCAACAAAAACTGAACAAGTTTTGTTGGAAAGTAGTGATGCTAAGATCGTACGCCGTACAAACCTATGGGCTTGGAGTTTTCGAAAAACAGTTGCTGCACAGGCAAAGAGAAGAACTGTAAAGAGACACTGGCGTGGTGATCTTCCGTTCCCTGCGGCAGGGGCGTGATCCAGGTGGGCACATCCAAGGATTCAATTGCCCCACCGGTACCTTAGGTTAGATGAAGGCTGCCCTGTCCAATCTTGGCTGACCATAGGATGTATTCACGGAACACAGCCAAGTCAAAGAAAGGGCGTGGGAAGAATGTTTTAGACAGGATTGCATTGCAGCCAAGACTAACTGGGCTGCGATCCACGCTCGCCCTCGCCAACTGCTCTCATTTCCTCTCTCCCCTTCCAATCACTTGTTCCCCTGGAATCGCACTCAGTACAACAGGCAGGAGCCTACCTTGGTCTGAACACTCTTATCGAACTTGTCATTTTTGAAGGTGAACGTGTTCTGGTGCTTCTGAGGCCTGGACCGAGCCACGTTGCCTTTCTGGGAACTCATCACCGAATCACAAGCACCTCAAGTCGGTGCAGCCCGTGTGTTACAGGGAAGAGGAAAGAGGTTCCCGCCCCAGGTTGAGCCTATTGACAGTGACCCGGAAGAAGTTCTACGCTTTCCTTTCCATCCCCCCGGGTCGGCCCACGTGACGCAACGCGGAGGTGACGCTCCTCTCTCGGCGCTACGCTTCCTCGGCCACCGCCGTCGCGGAAAACCTTCCTCAGACCCACCGGGCAAGTCCGGCTTTCTTCGAATCTAGAACTCCCCCATTGGCCCGGACGCGGCTGTCTATCACGGCGGAGGGGCGGGGATCCTCCGTTCCTATTGGCTCTGCTTTTCCGCAATCCCCGCCTCCTGCCGAACGCTCCCAGCATGTCCGCGGCTCGGTAGCGTAGCGACTCTGCTGCGCGGTTTTTGATTGGTGGAAGGTGGGCGAGGCCCGGAGCCTACCCGCCTGCAGCCCGGAGCCCGGGTCAGCTCCGGCTCCCTCCGCCTCCAGTCGGTGACCAGCTCCTGCCGGGCCGCGCGCCGCTCGCCCCCCGCGTCCCTCCCAGCTCCCGCCCGCCGCGGCCGCGCGCTCCGCCTCCTGGCGGGCTTCAGAGGCGCCGAGGAAGGCGGGTTGCGGAGAAGCCAACGCCGGCCCTGCGGTGAGGACGGCGACCACGGCCGCTCGGGACCTCAGGCCGGAGAGCCCCGGCGGCGGCCGCTCCTCGCGCCGGGGCCGTTAGTCAGCAGAACGCGAACGCGCGTGGAGGGGGCCACACGAAGCGCGCCCGGCCACCGCAGCGCTCGTTCGCGTCCTCGCCGGGCCGGGCCGCGCGCGCAGAGTCGGCGGGCGGCGCCCCGCGGAGGACACCGCGTCGGCGGCCGCGGCCGCCCAGCTGCAGGTGCGTGGGGCCGGGCTGCTGGGCCACCGAGGGGTCGCCGCTCTGCGCCGGGGGCCAGGCCGGGAGGCTCCGGAGTGGGGCTGCCGAGCGGAGACCGGCGCGTCCCGGGCCTCCTCTCCCGCAAGATGGGATCGGGAACCGCTGCCCTCCCTGGATCTGGGCCACTCGTGGGCCCTGGCCCTCGGCTCGGTGTCCGGGTCCAGCCAACCTCGATTTTGTTAGTTGGAGTCCTCCGGGAGCTTGAGCGGGTTATCCCGCTCCGCCTGTCGCGGGCGCTGCTTTCGTTGGCTTTAACTTCTATCATCTGTGATTGAGAACTCTAGGAGGTTGGGTTTGAATTGAAAGTTGGAGAGTCCTGTTTGAAATTTTATTGAATTCCGAACCAAAAAAGAAGTTGTGTCGAATTAGATTGTAGTGTGTGGAGGACGTTCAGAGAGTTTAACCTCGGCATCTTGTTTTTTGAAAAAAATAAATAAATAACGTTGAGAACATTAATCGAGCTGAGCTTTCTGTCAAAAGCAGAACATTTAGTTCCAGTGTTGCTCTGATTTAAGGGTAAGAAAAGATTAGAATAGCGGGGCGCGGAAAGGGTGACCTTTAAATTTTGCCTAGTTTATGAAAGGTACTCCTTGTGCGGTCTGTAGTGCTGGATACCTAAGATGATTCATTTACATTTTCAAGCCTTCAGTGTATGAAAAGAGTTTTGGACATCTTGGGTCAACATTTGAAACTACCTACCAAGACTTGAGTAGAACATCAGGTGCGGTTTGTGATGACATTTCTTTGCTTATAGTAACGGGAATTTTCAGTAAACGAACACTTATTTTGTAGAGAATTTGTGGCCATACATTGGGCGCATAAATTCAGTCGGGTGACATATCTACTCGTAGCCAGTGCAGTATTTTGAACATCACCATTATTGTCGGTGTCCATGCTTGTAAATGGATTTTATTTTGGGAGAAGGGACGTTATGAAAGGGAAACGGTGAGGGCAATTGTATTGGAAGCTGAAAATGGATAAAATCTCTGTCGTGCGTTCGTTACTACTTCAGATCTAGGAGGAAAGAGGTAGCACCCTCACCCATGTTTTGACCTCTCTTTTCTCCTACTCTGGTATTAATAAGGTTAATTGGCGAGGATAGGATTAGATTTTTAGCAAGCTAGGCAGCTTTAAATTTGTCCTTTGGTGTACAATACCCGGATTGATATGTGGCTGGTTACCCTAAGTGCCATCACCCTCTTTGTATGTGAATGAAATGACAACTGGAAAAGTAGAGTCACCCCCACCCCCAACACATAAGTACTAGGACAAAATAATGCTTTTAGTAGCTTTATAAACCCAGTAGAATGAAGCAGTTGGTGTCCTAGTCTGTCACCAAATTGGTCTACAACTCCAGGCATGCTGTTGTAGACTGAACCACTTTCTACATCCGTAATATAAGACTAATAAAACGTGCCGCCTGCTAAGCAGAAACACTTGTTCCAGGGAATCTGTCACCCTCTCCTGATCTCCATGGACACTAGGCCTATACATGCATGCAGATAAAACTTTCATACACATAAAAAGAAATTAAATTTTTTAAATTGAAAAATGCTCCACCTGCTCAGTTTTTAAAGTACTAATTGGCAAACTTTTGTGTGTTTGTTTGCGTTGGTGTTCTAACAAGTGTTAACAATGAAATGTAGGGTTTATTAACTCACTTCTACACTAACTTCAATTTTTTTCCTTTAATAATGTCTCCTTTTCCTACCCTGCTAGGGATCTCTCGTATACATTGGCTTGTCTGTCCCAGCCTTGTGAGCTTTTACAGATTAAGTAAAGACCAGAGAAATTAGTTATTTAAATTTCCTAAAGTTAGTGAGAACTAAGACTTGAACCCAGACCTTTTGACTTGTCTTCAATCCTTGGTGTTGAAGCAGTCAATACCCATACTGTTTTTAGTCTCTGTAAGAAGTCTCAGTGTGGTGACATAAAATGTAATGAGGATCCACATGCCTTTCATCTACTTTAAAAAACTCACAACTGCAAATTAGAAGGATACTTTTCCCATATCTTGTAAAATTTCCCACGTCCTATTATCTTTCTCCCACTCCATCAACCTTAAATTGTCATGCCTCTTTCTGTCAGTGTTCATATAAACAGCATCTAGATCCCTGAGCATACATACATATATGTGTATGTATGTATGTATGTTTAATTTTGATGATCTTAAGTTTAAGCATGATGTTTATATCTTCTTGTAGCTTGTTTTTTTCAATTTGGTCAAGTATTTTTCCAAGTATTTCTGTTTCGTTTTCACTGCTATATCATACAAATGTTCTATGGCCAACTTGTATGAAGATGATGCTATGGAGCTAGACTTGGTGAGGGTAGTTCATGGCCAGCACAGGATGCACAGTGAGTCCCTGGCTGTACACCTCTCCCATGAAAGCAAATCAGAACAAATCAGAATCTTTTTGCTTCGTTTTACTTTATTTTCTGAATAACACATTGGGGTTTCAAAAATGCGGTCTACCACTTTTTTCCCCCTTGGTTTTTTGAAATGGGGGTTTCTCTGTGTAATAGCCCAAGCTTTTCTGGATCTAGCTTTGTAAACCATTCTGGCCTTGAATGCACAGGGACCCTTCTGCCTCTGCCTCATGAGTGCTGGGACCAAAGGATGTGCACCACCAATGCCTGGCCCTTCTTCACTCCTTAGAGTGGCTTTTACTTTGAATATCATTGCACTAATAATTTTAAATTCAATAATTTCATTTATTTAATGTTTGAAACAAAGTCTTACTCTGAAACTTGGGCTGGCCTCAGATTAATAGCAGTCTTCAAGTTAGCCTACCAAGTGCTAGGATTGTCACCAAACCTGGTTTATAACTTTTTTATTGTAATATCAAAACATTTAGATCTTGTGATGGTTAGTGTTGTCAGTTTAACAGGATCTAACTCATTAGGAGATTGGCCTCTGGGCATGCCTGCAGGGTATCAGTTTAGTTGTGTTGATACTGGAGCACTCATCCTACTTGCAAATGGGACCACTCCCTGGGCAGGGTCTTGGGCTGTTAAGATGAACACAGTGAGGGAACTAAGCACCAATGGGTGTTTACCTCTCTGCTTTCTGATTGTGAATGAATGCAGTGTAACACTTGCTTTAAGCCCTTGACATCTTGACTTCTCACCGCGATGGATGGACTATATATACCCTTGAACTGTGGGCATGAATTAACTTTCTCCCTTTAGCTGCTTTGACCAATAGTACTTTATCACAGAAAAGTGTCTAAGATCTGAAATTCTTGTGAATTTTTTTCTGTACTAAAAGGCTTATGAATATAAATGTATTCATTGAAAGAAACTATCTTTTATTAAAATTGACTTTTTTAATGTTAATGTTCTCTGTTGACATAGTGATGGTCATTGTATTTAGTTAGTATCCCTTCATCAAAAATTAAAATTTTGCAACTCTTGGGCTGGAAGTGGATCCAAACCCTTACCTTGTGTGAGTAGCAACTACTTGTAAGTCCAACTTCAGGAGATCTGACATCCTTTTCTTTCTTTCCACAGGCACCATGCCCATGTAGGCGCATACACCACACACACACACACACACACACACACATGTACGTACGTTCAAGCACATGAAAGCATGCACACACATACAAAATGAATAATAAAACTTGAAGGAATAATAAAATTTGATAACTATTGTCATTCAGTATTTCTTTAAGAGAGGGAGAGATTCTTGGAATCTGCAGCCATTCCTTTAGAGTACAGATTGAACATTCCTAATGTGAAAATATGAACTCTGAAATGCACAACTTTCTTGAGTACTGGCATAATGGTCAGAAGTTTTAGATTTTTTGAGTGTTTTAGGATATCTGGCTTTCAGGTTAGGAATGCTCAGCTAAGAAAAATCTAAGAAAAATGTTTCAATAGATTTCTGGTCCTACTCATTCTACATGGTATGCTCAAGCTGTACTTGGACTCCTGTGTTCCATCTATGGCTCACATTCAGCTTCTAGATGCATAGAACATGGCAGGCACTTTAGCCACTCATCAGTATCTAAATCCTTCTCATTTCGTAGTCAGCTTTACAATATTTTTATCTTTTTTTTTCATTTAGTTAGGGTTTTTTTAAATAATCATAATTTAGTCTGTTTCTCTAGCAGAATAAAATGTCATAGTAAGTTAAAATATTTAAATGTAAGTTGGCCCTGATATGGGCCTGTTTTGTTTCGTTGGGAGCTATAAATAAAAACCATTTAAACAAGTTTTTCTGGGCAGCTAAAGAGGAAAAGTGGAAGTGTGTCCACTGCATATGCACTGTTCACT